ATCACTAGGAGGACCAGGAGGAGGAGGAGGAGGAGGAGGAGGAGGAGGAGGAGGAGGAGGAGGACGAGAGGGAAACCCAACACCACCAGGAGGACGGCAACAACGACGCCGAGGGGTAAAAGCAGGTCCAGGACAAGGAATGGCTAGCACCAGCAATCACCCCAGAAGCAGCAGAAGCGAAGGCGAAGGACAGCAGTACGATCAGAACCAGCAGCCGTAGCACCAGTATCACCAGGGAGGAGGAAGGCTGAGCAGAGGGAGCGGGCCTTCCTCAATCCTTCCTCTATCTGTTCTGCCCTGCCTCTCCCTGCGCCTTTACTTTCTCTCTATCTCTCTCTCTCTCTCGCTCTCTTTCTGTCTCTCTCCACTCTCTGCTCGGGAATTCTGCTCATAGACCTCGCGCTCCGCGCGGGGTGTCCACCAGGCGTCGCACAAGTCAGAAAACCTGTCTGCGCCAGCCATAGACGAGATATTTCCATGGAAGGAGCGCGCTCGTTCCCCCCCCCGGTACGCACCAACGGTCACCTCCAAGGCAGCCCCTTCTCACTCGACGACATCAAAATCCTGGCGTGCGTTTGGACAAAGCGACCGCGCCGGCGGGGGCAGCGCCGCGCCCCATCGGCACCGCGTGCGTCGACGACATCAACTCCACCGCCCCCGCGGCCAGGGCGCTCGAAGCATCGCTCGATGAAGCTGTGCTATTCTACCGCCTCTCGGGCCACAAGAATCCACCCTGCAAAATGTTGGGATGGGCTGATGGGGGGGAGCGCCACCGCTGGGTGGCAGCCCTAAACCCCAACGCCCCCCTCCCCGAACGCTCACCGCGAGGGACAACTGGTGGGGGGCCACGTCAATGTTGCACCGGCAACGGAAGGCGCGGACCTCAAACTTCAAGCCGCTGCCGATGCCCGAATTCGCCGGGCCGTGGCCAGACACCCCCCCGCATCGGTCGCCTCCCAGAAAGCGCCTGCGCCAGAGACCGTTCCGCAAGGCCCCTGGCGGCAAGCGCGCGCGCCGCTGGCGCCGACATCCAAGCATCCAGCGCGATATCACGCAACCTCTACAATGACGCGGTGTTCGCCGCTATCCCACCCATGGGGCGATCATGGATGTCCCAGCGGGCCCCGCGCGCACTCGTCGTCCCCAGCCGCCCCCCGGAACTCAGGTGCCATCGCGCGGCGGAAAACACTCCTCGGAGCGCGCGGGAAGGTGCGGCGAGACGCCAATCTCGACACCAGAGCCGACGCGGCCGTTGGCCGCGCGCAAACCTTCCAATGCGGCGGCTCAATGGGCAGACTCTGGCAAACCATCGCCCAGCTGGAGTGGATCTGGCCGGCCTGCGGCACGATGTGCGACGACCAGGGCACGCGATTGTCACGGTCAGGACGCGCGCGCACGCACTCCTAGCATCGCAGACGCAGGCCCTCCTCCGACGAGCCCCTATCACCAGGCGTGAGCGACATTGGGACGGCGTCGGCCGTTATATTTCAGATCTCGAGTACTTCGCCCACACCTGGCCCCAGAGAGCCAAAGGTCAAGCCCACATGCTTCTCCCATGACACTACCGTTAGGTCGGGCATGTCCCCCTACAGGCCGATTTTCGACGAAAAATTCAGATTACCTATCAAATCCTCCAACATTGACAAAAATATTAGAACAACCTTCTCTAGACTGTTTTTGGACTATTTTTGAATATTCCTCCTGTAGAGGGGCAGGCCCGACTTAGCATTACCTCTGTGGCGGTGACCGCACCCAACAGAAGAAACTGCGGGAGGGGATCTCGGCCGACCCGCTTCCGCTGCAAAAGGCGGTGCAACCCAGCAGAGGAGACCCAGGAACACATCGCCTGGAGATGCCCGCGCTGGGCCAACGAGCGAACAGGCCATGATCTCGGGGGAACTGTGTCAGGCGATCGCAAACATGGAGCAAGGGGGCGTGGATTAGCGACGGGTCCCGTTTGCAGGGAAATCGCTGATTTCCGCCGCCGAACGAGGCGGCACCGGCCGCATTTTGGGGAGGGCACCTCCCCCGATCCATGTTTGCGCGCCCCCGACTGTGGAGAGACCTTCCGCCGCACACGCGGCACTGTGGGCTCCTAGAAAAGGGCGCTCAACCCGTCGACCTCCAGGCCATTCTCGCCAAAGGCAAGCTCCCGCAGCCCATCCCCGACCAACTCCAGAGGGCCTAGAAAGAGGAGCACTTCGAAGAATGCACCGACCCGATCCACGGGGGCTTGCTGCGTTCACGCGACCACTGACGGGGCATGATCGCACCATGCCAGCCCACTCTCGCCAGGGCAGGTTTCGGCGTGTGCTCTGGGCCACAACATCGCCTGAACCACTCTGCCCGAGCATATGGCCTAGTGCAATCAACGCAAGGCACCGAGACCCTGGCGCTGCTCCACCTCGCCGCCGCGGCGGAAAGGCCGTCCACAGCTTCGTCGATAACAAAGCCGTCGTCGACAGGCCTGAAGTCCTCCTCGAAGGAAAAAAAAGTGCAAACCAAGAGCTCGCAAGCCGATCTCTGGCCAAGAATCCCCACCGGGTGGTGCAGGCCAAAGACGACGTGTTCAAGGTCCAAACAGCCAAAAGCCACCTCGGAGAACAAAGGATCAACGAAGGCCGCATCTCGCCGATCGCCGAGAACTTAAGACGCCATGCTGACGAGCCGGCAACAAGGGGAGCCAGCAATCCCTGCCACAGAATGTCACTGACGCGGCCGGCCAGGTGGCGTCATAAATTCGCGGCTGTCCTTCTTAGCGCAGCGGTCGTGATATGTAACCGTCGTCAGCACGCACTCCCGCTTCCAGACAGACGAGCTGGATGCTCCAGGTTGGAACTCCACCGGATGAAACCCAACCATCACGACATTAGGGAGCGGCGGGGAAAAGCCACCATGCTCCCAAGGCCCACCAGGACCACGGGTACTACCACAAACTCGACGGTCAATGGGGCACCCATGCCGACTAGCTCGATGGGGACGAAGAAGATCCACTCGGCCTAGGAAGGGCCCTCGACAATGACGATGACGAGACTCCTTGCCGACCAGATAGTCACGACAACGACAGCCACGACGCGGACGACAAAAGTTCACATCCACGCCCAAACAGGCACACGACAATAGCGACCCAAGAAGTGAAGCTTCACCGAATGCCCATGCCATGCGCTACGCCCCGATCAGCGCAGGCTAACCCGAGGGCGGACCATTTGGGAGGCAGCTCGGACCCGACCGCCCCCCCCGACACTGTCAGCCTCACCCTAGAGCGCAACCGCGCCAACAATGCCAACCGCCTCGGAGAGGACTTGTGCATGGCAGGCGAAGGGTCGCGGACTGCGCCAACAGGGCAAGCTCCGTCGCCCCGGCCCGATGGGCTGGCCAGTGCTGGTGAGCGACCAGCCCCCCAACCCAACGTTTCCTACCACCAGGCAAATGCCCCGCCTCACCAGGGAACGGAGAACAAGGGCCCCAGTACCACACACCAGGGTGTAGACCCCCGAGTGGCACCAGTGCAGATGACCGATCGAGGGCGAAACCTCGCGCAACCCCTCACCGCGGCCAGGTCACAACCTGCCCAGGATCGCGAGGCCGCGTTCACCACAAGTACCACGGCGCTGCAGCAACATGTCTACAGCCTCGGACTCGCGCTCCGAGGCATCCAGGAACAATCTGGACCCCTGCTTGACCGGTCCCGAAGAACATACTCTGCCTGGCACGGGGTCCAACAAGTCTTTCGCACGCCTGCTTTCCTGGGGTCACTTTCCAGGACAATCTCCAGGTGCGGCTTGCCCTCACTGCTAGCGCACCAGTGCTGGCCTCCTCTACTTGTTCTTTCGTGCGCCGCGCAAACACCGTGCAACACGTTCCGTCGACTTTGCACTGGACCGCCGATGGGGGTGCCCGAAGGCGGAGCCTGTCTCCCAGGGCATCGAGGTGCACATCCCAAGGCATGCTAAAGACCTATGCGTCTCTACAGCACGGGCGCGCAGAAGGGGCGGGCCACGCTCCCATCGCCACGCCCTTGTTTTTCCCCAGTCGGGGTCCCTTCTCGACCGCGCCAGGGGGGGGAGAGGATGTGTCCCACCCCTGCTTGTCAAGCGGCGCCTCAGCCAGCGCTCGTACGAGGCGGGCCTGACCAGACACCTGTCCGAATCAGTGCGCTCTCTTGTTGGTATGCCTTTCTTTATGTGTCTCTCCCTTTGTTGCTGTTTGTCTGTCTGTTTCTCTCTCTCTCTCTCTCTGTCTCCCCCTCTCTCTCTCTCCCCATCTCCCTCTCCCTCTCCTTCCACCTGCCTCAGACTCTTCCTCTCCTTCTCCCTTCCTCCTTACATCCCTGCTCCCTCCCCCTGCCCCCTCACCACCACCTTCTCCCCCCCCCCCCCTTCTCCCCCCCCCCCCCCCCGCACCACCCCACTTGTACCTCCCTCCTTCTTCCTCCCTCCCTCCCTCCCCAGCTATCACGTCTTTCCCTTTCTCTCCTCCCTACTCATCTTGACACTCTTTCTCAATCCCCCCTCCCTGGCACCTACTCCTCTCAGAAACCCCTTCCTCCCGTATTCCCTTCTCTTCCGCCTCTCCTGCCCCGTTGACTCCTCATCCCTCCTACCTTGCTCCTCTTCCCTGGCCCCCTGTCTCTCTCCGACTTCCATCTTCCTTTTCCTCTTCAAATATCGACCTCCAGGATTCGTTTTAGCCAGGGTCTCGAAGGGAACCTGCCTGCGGCGACGAGGACACCCCAGGACGCCCAAGAAGAACGAGGAACAAGTAAAGACATTGAACTCCTCTCCTCGTCCTTCTCCTAGCTGGCGTGACAGGAGGGGTCCTGGCGGAAACCCGTCCTGGACCCCCGGATTCTCCCCAAGACTAACTCGTCACCCCAAGCCATTTAGTGACTGCCCCGGGTTCCGTCCGAAAACTGAAAAAAAACCTCCTAGGAACATTGTTTTCTCCCAGACCCCATTCTCCCCCATCCAACCCTCCAAGCACTGCCGATGCCGTCTCGCCTGCATCGCCGCCAGCGCTCCCGCGCGCTGCATGGTCTGCCCACGCGGGGTCACCGTGAGCATCCTGGCGGTCGTACCGGCGGCGGCCCCTGCCGCCATCTTGCCCTCTGCCTCCATCTTGCCACGCGCCACGCGACCTGCACGCGCCCGGGCACACCGACGACGACGTCGCTTCGGAGGTCTTTGGGAGCTCTGGCGCACTCCTCTCCTGCCTCGTCCCCGTCTCGTTTCGAACATCTTGTCGTCGTCATCCTCCTCCTCTTCCCCTTCCCCCTCCCCCTCCTCCTCCTCCTCCTCCTCCTCCTCCTCCTCCTCCTCCTCCTCCGCACACACCTCATCCATCAAGCTCATCAACAAGTGGAGACTCGAGGTGTCATATTTGACGGCCTTCTAGGCAGTGCTTGAACGGTCGGCAAACAGAACTCTGCGCTGGCAAGACAGCAGGACTTGCCGCAGGCACCTGGGTATGATCAACCTTCAGTTAGCACTGCCTGACAACTCCCCTCACCTGTCTGCCAACCACATCTTCAATCGCCTGCAAAATATCCTTACCTCTTGATCGAACTGCCAACCACGAATCCTCATCTGTCGGCCAAACCTACTATACCTCACAGTCGCGGGTCCCAAAGCGACTGCAAACATACCCACACTTGACATGACAACCAATCGCAGATCCTCATCCGCCGGCTAGAACTGATCACCAACCCTCAAGGAACACAGCCATTGAGATAGCGTCACCCGTCGAAAACAATGCCCATCGAGCATCTCCAGACTGTCAAAGGCCAGCTAGCATTTTGTCACTCCGACGCCCTCTTTCGCTCACCACTGCCGTTGACATCTCCTCATACCGTCGGCCTGAACTGCAAAGCAACTATCTTAAGCACGTGACCGAGACGGCCTTACCCATGACCCTCAGATAGAACTACTGGTCGTGCCTCCCTTTGTCCCCCTCCTGCCCCCCCTCGTCCATTTTCCCCCGTCCCCCTCCTTCTCTGGGGAAGCCCTGAAGTACCGATACTGTTGCTCCACGGACCTCTCCTGGGGTTCGTTCTGACCCAGATTTCGAGACGAATCCAGCAATGGCGGCGAGGGCCTCCCAGGAGGCCCCCTGAAAGGCAAAAGCGAAGCAGGGGTAGCAATACCTTTTCCTCCTCTGATTTTCCGTCGGCCCAGTCGATCGCCCTGAAACATGGAGACGATAATGTGTCAAGGATCGATCCTTTGTCACAGAAAAACAGTCCTGGCGGTCCGCCGGCTACCGCGTCCCCTTCTCGGTCGGCCCCCTCCGGTACAGCGGAACGCTTCGTGGACACTCCCATCCCACCGAAATCCGGAGATGGCACGCGCGGGAAAGACTGCGGTCGAAGTGCAACACGTTCATAGGACGAACCATATCTATCGACACAGCGTGCAATTGATACGTTCGGGAAATTCCGGGATTTCTGACAGCCTTCGCGCGGGGTACACCTTGCGTCGAGTATTGTCTACTCTGGCTGGCGCCGCTGGTCGGTCACCCATTCGCAATCGAGTGGTCGCCCGTAAGGGGCTATCTGACCCCCCTTCTCGTTGCCGAGCGCGGGGGGGACGGCGGCGCGCCGTCCCATCGCCCGCCGCCGCGCACCGCGCGCCTCGGCTGACTCCCACAGACCTGAAAAGGCAAATCATGCGCGACTCTGGAAAATTCTCCAGGGGGTGAAATCGAACAAATCCGGGACCGCTTTTGAACATGTCCGGCCTACTTTTTGAAGAATAAATACCATAATCGTTTTTGACAATTTCCAGGATCGCTTTCGAAAAATTCCGGAATCCATTTTGAAAAATTCCGGATTACAGAATTCTGCAGATGTCCTGCGCGGCGGGCGCATTCAAACCCTCAAAACAATTTTTGTCGGAAAAATTCCGGGTTTTCTGTCTGAAAAATCCGAAACCGCTTGCGCACAAAAAAAGCGGAAGCGTTTTCTGACACATTCTACAATCCAGAAATAATGTCCGGGCGGTCCGACGGGCGCGGCCGGCTGATTCACGCGCCGCGCCGCGCGCGATTGGGCGCAGCGCGCGCCGCGCGTTGCGCCCGCGAACAGCACTCGAAGGGGCGACATCGAAAACAGCGCCACGGCAGCTGCAACTCGCGGACTCCCCAAGAGCAACACAGCCTGCAGCTTGGAATCTTCGAGGGCGCTCCGATGCGCGAAATATGCACTGCGAACATCACGCAAAGAACCTGCGCGACGGAATGCGCTCGACCATTCGTCCCTGGAGCCCGCGCGGAAGAACAGGAAAACCTGGAAATCTGGAAAACTATCAATATCAATACTTCATGCTCCCCTGACTTCGACCCACCGCCAACTCTTGATTCTTGGGTAGAGGCATTGACAAATGAGTGTGGCATGCATGCTCGCGAGGCCTGTCGTTCGCCTCGGAAGCACGGAGGGGATGGCGTATCTAGGGGGCAAACAAACCTCCCTCGCTTTTGACCACCCTCGCTTCCAAGAGATACCAGACGATGCCAAATTGCAGCCTGTACTGGTCAGGCCGCTTGACGAGGAGGCGCGTGGTATGGCTTGGTTTTGCCAAGCGAAAGCGGGGTAGGTAATTCACGCTCTGAGTATCAGGGGCCGATCCCTTGTCCTCGAAAACGGCCAGACACTCCCGGCGTTCCGCCCGCCGCCGCCCACGGCCCGCCCCATCCTGCGCGCTGCCGGCCTTCTGCCTCCCCGACCTCCGCCTCCCCCTCATCCTGCTCCCCCCTCCTCGCCCTCCTCCTTCTCCTCCTCCTCCCCTTCCCCCTCTCCCTCCTCCTCCCCCTCCCCCTCCTGCTCCTCGTCCTCCTCCTCCTTCTCCTCCTCCTCCACTTCCTGTCTCCTCGTCCTCCTCCTCCTTCCTCCTCCTCCTCCTCCTCCTTCCTCCTCCTCCTCCTTCTCCTCCTTCTCCTCCTTCTCCTCCTCCTCACCCTCCTCCTCCGTGGCCATTTTGGCTCAAGCTGGCTTCGGGCGCAGGGCGGGCGGCGTGCTCCCCCGCTGCGGCTCGGGCGATGGCGACGGTCCGTCCCCTCGATGGGGGAGTGGTGGCGCTGCTCGCCCCGCTCGTGAAGGCGGCTGCGGCGGGCGCAGCCGAAGGCGGTGGCGGGCGGCAGCAGGTCGCCGCCACTGTCGCCTCGGCCCTGCGCACGGGTGCCGCGCTGCTCGCCCCGAGCCAGGCCTCCGAAGTTGAGGAGGTGGCGGTGCGCGAGCAGCTTGGGAGGGCCCACCTGACGGAGATGGTCAAGGCTGGCCGCGCGGGCGTGCAGCCGCGGCCGTCGGGGGCCAGCCGCGCCTTCCGCGGCTGGGCCCAGCACGCCGAGTTCGGCGGAGGGCCCCATGATGTGCCTGCCACGGCGCGCGATGCCAGGCGCCGCGGGCGGGGTCGTCGTCGCTGTGCTGGCGACGCCGAGTCGGCGGGGACGGCGGACACCGCGACCACTGACGACCTGGAGGCAGAGAAGGAGCGGCTCGAGGAGGGTCGGGTTGAGAAGGTCTCGTTGAAGCCGGTTGAGAAGAAGAAGGGGGAGATGAAGAAGTTGGCCTTCCAGTGCGGCCCTGATGACAAGACCACCGACGAGGTGAAGGTGATGGTATCGGCCATGGATGAGATGGTCCTGGTGAACACTCGGCTCAACAATGGGGAGACCAAGAACGACTCCGAGAAACTCAAGGACGTGAATGCCCCCAAGGTGACGGCCCAGCTGGTCACGGACTGCCGCAAGGTGGAGTACAACCACATGGACGGTGACGCTAATGATGGCGTCGTGGTCAAGATCGGCGACGGCGACGTACACGCGGAGAGCAGCGATGTGAGCCTCTCTGCCGATCCCGTCGAGGCCGCGATCCCCACGAGCGACGGCCACGCGGACTTCAGGAAGAAATACAGCACGGAGAAGCAGCTAGCCGTGCAGGCGATACTGCAGGAGGCCAAGCAGAAGGCCCGCCTGGAGCAGGAGATGTCGGAGTGGAAGCAGAGCACGGTCGAGTCGGAGGTCGTGGCGCTGCTGGGAGGCGGGGCCACCGGTTGAGGGCCCCCCTCGTCGTCTTCGTGCTGCTGAGGCCTCGGCAGGGGGTCCCTGGGGCTCCATTGGGCTCTCGGGGTCCCGCGGTGGCTCCGAGGCCGTCCAAAATTCCAGGGCAGTGTCCGCTATCAAAGAGTTCCAAAGAGTTCCTCACCCTCCTCCTTCTCCCCCTGCTCCCCCTCCTCCATCCTTCTACCCCCTTCCCCCCCTCCCCCCTGTCCAAATCCATCCAATCAGAGGCGCAACCCAAATGCACCTCCCCGCTCGCTCCGCCGGCCTGTGGTCGCCGGCGTGATCGCCGTCCTCCCTCACGTCTCTCCAGTGCTGCGAGCCGTGACCGCCGCGGTCGCCGCGGTCGCCGCCGCCTCCGGGCGCCACAGGGAGGCGGGCGCGCGCGCGCGCCCGAGGTCCCGCCCGCGTGCCAGCAGCACCGAGGCAAGGAACGACTGCGACGTCGAAAAAGTCCTCGCCCGCCTCGGGAATTCCCCGCCCAGGGCAAGAGAACCTGATATCTTGCCCTTCGCTTCCCGTTCCCAGCATCGAGACCCTCACCGGTCGAATCTGCTCGAGAGGAGGCGCACGAAGATAGGGTCGAGACTCTGAGCGTGCTTTTTCGCGACGTCGTGTTTTCCTGGCGATGTGTTGGATGTCTAGGGGCCGATTCGTCCATCTCAATGGTGATTAATCGCCCCAGCCGGTGGTCAGAAGTCTTGCGAACCTGCGGGCACCTTCAGGCATCGTGGATGTTTCCTCAAGCTGCAAACTTACAATTTTCCTGTCGGGTGCACGTGGCTTCTTCCAGTGCGCACTGCAGCGAACCACCCTGCAGGCAAGGTGGCCAGATGCGAAGCTTCATTGTACTAAACAACTATCCTGCATCACAGCTGCAAAACTTACTAGTGTGGCCTGAATCAACAAGCTGTGAGAGTGGCACATCGACGAATGAAGCCCTAAAGAAGAGAGTTGCTCCAGACTTCCGAAACAATCCGCCCATAGCTCTCAAATATCCGTTTCCATACCCTTCCCTCCATATAAAGCATGTTCGAACATCCCCTGTACGACTACATCTTCATATATAATGCTAGATCGGCGGCATGTTTTCGTGCCTTCCGTGACAGACGCGTCGTGGCAAAAGAGCAGTTTGCCATGTACTTCTGAAGATGCGCAAGTGCCTCTAACTGACGAGCCACGCATCAGCAGCGCTTTTCGGCCAAAGGCGTTGTGCAAGCTTGAGCAGATCAAGGATATCCGACTCTCTGAGGGCCCACGGTACAATACTGCGAGAATCGCAGAACTGACTCCCTCGATTTAACTTCCGCAGCGCTGTCGCTTTTGGCCTAGCCTGCGGCACGCCTGCTTTTGACTTTCCAACAGATGGGATGTCACTCCCGGGTACCGAGTACTTCCAGGGTGGAGGGGAATGGAAGCAAAAGAACCTGGACATCCGACGTTGCGAAGAAACGGCGGCTTGAAAAATCACGAGAAGATACCGTGTCGTATTCCCCCGAGGAATAAAACGTCCGTCACCCTGCCGCTCACCATAACGAAGGGGGCGGCGGGGGTTGTGGCGCCGGAGCCCGCGCAAGTTTGAACGCGCGTCATCGACGACATCCACGGCCACGACAACGAACGACGAGGGTGACGACGACGTCGTACGGACGCCTCCAGAGGCCCTCCAAAATCGTCCGAAGGCCCCCGCAGGCTCCTGGCGGTCTCGTCGGAGGCCTTCGGAGGTCCAGAGCAGGACCACGCCATCACCAAGATATGCACAACAGTGTGCAGGACCAGTAGAACCAAAGGCCTGCGAACAACGTGCCGGTGAACACCGCACTGAACCTGCGATCGCATAGCGCCTGTGAGCACAGTTGTGACTGCTTACCTCGCCACAGGCTTGTGGCGCCAGCTGTCACCAGTGTGCCAAGGCTGGGGTGAACAATTGGGATAGCCATCAGGCCTGCGCGAATAAGCTCCAGCCACAGTATCAAATCCCACCAGCCCTCTGGGCGTCGGTGGTTTGGGGAGTATCCTCTTCCACCCTTCCTTCTTCCCCTTCGGGGAAAGGTTATCACTGTTCCCTATTAGTATACACCCCCTCCCCCAGGCGACTGGTAGCCAACCCGAGTCAATGAGGGCCCCCCCCAACATCCCTTGCAAAAAAAACACTACAAATCAAATTTTGCCTCCAAAGTCGGAGCATGCGCAGCGAACCCGATGCGGCCTCCCCTCACCATCCCTGTCAAAACACAATAAAGCATACACTTGGCGGCGGCGGCGGCTGCCGCGGCTGCGGCGGGGGCAACGGCTACGGCGGCTGCGGCGGCTGCGGCGGCGGTGGCGGCGGCAGCGGCGAGGGCGGCGGCGGCGGCGGGGGCGGTGGCGGCGGCGGCAGCGGTGGCGGCATCGGCTGCGACGGCAGCGGCTGCGGCGGCGGCGATTTGGCAGCGGGGGCGGCGGCGGCGGCGGCGGCGCGGTGGCGGCGGCGGACATCGGCGGCGGCGGCGGCGGCGCGGCGGCGGCGGCGGCGGGCGGCGGCGCCGGCGGAGGCGGCGGCGGCGGCGGATTGATCCCCAGTAGCTGCCCATGCAAAGACGACTGCTGAATATGCTGCGGTTCGGGCCAGGCTCGGGTGCTGCGTATGTACTGGGAGGGCGGGTGGGAGTGAGCGACACGGCTTGCGGGCGGGGAGGGCATCTTGACCCCTCCCCTTCACCCCCTCCCCATGGACCTGGAAGGGGGGTTCCGCGAGGTGTCGGAGCGTCCAAAGCGGCGCCGGCGAGGAAACCACAATCATTGGTTTTACAAAGTTTTGGCCCCATTTTGGCCTCCTGGGGGGGGGGCGCTAATTAGCACCCCCCCTCCGGCGATCGATCTCGCCCAAGATGGCCCACAGATGGCCCCTAAGGCTCCCACGGGTGCCCCAAGAGGGCCCCAAGAGGTGGCCAGGAAGCCCCAAGAGGCCCCCAGGATGCCCCCAAGAGGCTCCCAAGAGACCCCCAAGAGGCACCAAGAGACCCCCCAGAGGCACCCAAAACGCTTCTAGAGGCCTCGGCGACAAGGCCACAATCATTTAATGTACAAAAAGGTTTTGGCCACATTTGGGCCTCCTGGGGGGAGGGGGGGGCTGCTTAAGATGACTCCACGAGCGCCTGGGGGAGCTGCCCTCCAAGATGGCTCAACACATCCCATGATGCCTCAAGACGGCTTCCACGATGCTCCAAGGGGCACTAAGATCGCTCCAAGACGGCTCCAAGTGGCCACCCAGGAGGCCCCGAAGAGGCCCAAATCCTTCCAAAACCTTGGGGAAATCAATGTGTTGGGTTTTCTCGCCTTTTCGCTTCCGATGGCCATCCGAGGCTTCAAGGTGGCTCCAAAGTGGGCCAAGAGTGCCCCAAGAGCGCCCCCCAAGGCTCCCAACAACGCTTCAAGAGGGCCCCAAGATGGCCCCAAGAGGCCCCCCAAAGGCCTCCAGGAGGCCTTTTTTTTTTCACCCCAGATCCAACGCCGCGGACTCCGCCACGCTGGAGGCTTGCCGCGCTGAGCTCAGTGCGGCCCCGCGAGGCCCGCGGGCCTCACCCACCTCTCCTCGTGGGCACCATCTCGGCGGGGAGCGGCCTGCCCGTCTGCGGGTGGCAGCCGCGGAGGATGCGGTCCCGCCTCTTCCTCCTGGAGTCCGCTCCTCCGTCGGCCCCTCGCCGCGGCAGGGGCCCAGGACAGGCGCGGCCCAAGCTGGCCCGCCTCACCGCCGAGTGGGCCCCGCACACGCGGCAGACGACGTAGGGGCCGACGACCTCCACGACATGCGCCCTCCTGACATCCTCCTCGGCGCTCGGCGGGCCCTCGAGGACAGGCGCGTCCGCCGCCTCCCTACATCTCCGAGGCGACCTCGACCTCCGAGGTGACCTCCCTGCAGCACTGCCGTCTTCTCCATCATCTCCGCCTGCAGCTGCCGCCGCCACCGCCACGCCAGCGCAGGCCGCCGCCGCCCCCAAGGCGCCGCCAGCCCCACGCCCTGCAGCCGTGGACGCCTCCTGCCTTGCAGCCCTCTGCCTCCGCGCGCATGCGGCTCCCACTCTAGCCTCCAGCGAGCCCCACTCCTCGCTGGACTGGTGGCCCACCGCCTGCCAGGGAGGGGGTGCGCACGCGGAGGCCCACAGCTTCTTCCTCATCCTGGCCGAAACTGCACGCTTGCCGCACCGCGTGCACACCAGCCAAGCTCCACACACCTCGACCTCGTGCCTCGTGAGGCTGACGTAGGGCCTCTGCTGCTTCCTCCTTCTGCTCGGCCCCGTCCTGGGCGGCACGTCGGGCCATCCTTCCTTCATCTCCTGGTACCACCAGCCGATGTTCTGGATGGCCCACTTCACCTTCTCATCCAGGCTCTCCAGGGCCAGCTCCCTGCCGTACCCGAAATCCTCCGCGGCCCCACGCTTGGCCAGGGCGTCCACCGCCTCATTGCCCCTGGCCACTTGCTGCGCCAAGCCCTCGAGCCTGCTGATGGCCGCTCTGGACCTGTGGGCCTTCACATGCATCACCCACTCTGGCTCAAGCCCCAAGTCCGCGATCTTGTGCCAGATCCTCCTCCAGACGTCCGCGTGCGGCCTTCCCCAGCTTAAGCACCACCTCGGCCCCCTCCTGATGCCGTCAAGGATGCCCTGGTGGTCCGTGAAGATCCTGCACGGTGGCAGCACCATCTCCAAAGTCTTTAAGAAAGCCCACATCTCGGCCCTCTTGACCGTCTTCTGCTCCTTAAAGCGGCATGGCAGGGGGCCCCAGAGCTGCACCGTGGGGGCGCCTCCCGCGTCGATGGCCATCGCGGCCCACCCCGCCTGCGCCCAGCAGCTGGTGCCCAGCTTGGAGCCGTCGCACACGATGTCGCCCGACAGGAGGGCGTCCGTCCCCTGGAGGACGTCGCAGTGGAAGTCCGCCTCGTCGACCGACCTGTGGGCCCAGTCCGCCAAGGGGTCCCGCGCCAGCCCCCGCGTCCAGAGCAAACTGTCCTCCTGCTGCTCCGCCACGTGCTGCCACTCCGCCTGCGCTCGCCTCCTGACCTCGAGCAGCGCGGGGCGCCGAAAGAAACGATGATGCGGGGTGCCGGCCGCCAGCCCACACCCAATGCAGATGTCGGTCGGCGTGATGTTGACCTCGGCAAGCCTGCTCATGGTCCAGGCCCCCGCCAGCGCCACCTTCCGAGCCGCCCGCTTCGCATGCGCAGGGAAAGCCCGCGCGGCCAGCTGCGCCACCACTGGCGGGAGCCTCGGGCCTGGGGCTAGGCTCCCCATGCCTGGCTGCTGCGCCGTCCACTGCTCCCACAGCACCCTGCGCAGGTCAGCCCTGAGGAGCGCCCCAACGTCAGTGGGGCACACCG